AATGTGTGTTTTTGTTGCTTATGTTGTATCTGTCTTGGGTTGTCTTATTCTTTAATGATTTTTGAAATCTTGTGCCTAAAAGTTTATTTTGCGTAATTATGAAGTAGATGCGCATGTTTACATTTATGTAAAATGTTTGCATTTATGTAAAATACTTGCTGTGTAAAGTTTTTTTTGGTTTATTCTCTTAAAAGATCACTATATTTAAGTAAAAAATGAAGGTCAGCAGTATATGTCTTGGTGGGTTTTATTTTTTTACTAGGAATCAATGAAAAATGTAAGGTTCTATTAATCCTTTATGCTTATGCCTGCTTCTCTAAATGAATTCCTTTTTAATTTGGTGTTTATGCTCATTAGGATGAACACCTCAGCTTCAAAAGGTGTGAAGTTCAAAACTGGAAGGATGTGAGCCACATGGCATCTGAGGCCATTACCCGGTCTGGAAAGGCAGACTTGGCTTTGACTCTAAGAACCATGCGGGGGTTAAACTGAATCTCGAGACATATCCTAATTCTTTTAGCACACCAAATTGCTTCCACCTGGAATGCCACACCCCCCTCCCCCCCCCCCCCCCAGTACACTCACTGGCTGGAAGTGATCCTGCCTCCTGCTTCCATTCCACACACAGCAATGCCCACAGCAGTCTTGCAAACTTCTAGGTGGGCAGTGACCATATTCCTTCTTAATTCTCTGGTGTCTCTCACCTAATGGGTGCTCAATAAATTTGGATTGAATACAATTATGCACTAAGAGAACTAGCCTAGGAATCCTCTGCTGCTCATTCTGTAACTGGCTCACATTTCCTCAGGTGGAAATAGGAGTTAGATTTGAACCGGGAATCTCAATGGGGAAGTGGTGGTGTCCATTCCTCACTCAAAGGAGTGTGGTCCTCAGTTAATTGTTGCCACACAATGACACGTAACAAAGCATCCCAGAATTCAGTGGCTTAAAATAAGCATTTATTTTGCTTACAGCTCTGGATTGGCGATTAAGACTGGGTGTGGCTGGACAGTCTGGTCTTGACTGGACTCCATATGCCTGGCAGTTTGCAGACTCAGCTGATCTAGGAGGACTTGGCCAGCACGGCTGGGGCAGTTCAGGCAGGCTCCTTGTGCCTTACCCTCTAGCAACCTAGCCCAGCACATTGTCATGGCAAAGGCAGAGATGCTAGAGTGAGAGAGGAAACAACTGCCTCTGTCACAATTGCTAACGTGTCATTGGCCAAAGCAAGTCACCGGGTCAAGTTCAGAATCAAGGGGTGGGCAAATACAGTGCATTCTGCCAGGTGATGGGAGGAGTTGCAAGGTGTAAGTACAGAGAAGTGTGAGAATTCGGGCGATCACTGCAATCAATCTACTTCCTCCACGTACGCCATGTCCCTACCATGGTTGACAACACTGGACCATATAATCACTAAGTCCTTCCTCAACTTGGCTTTTCTCCTGGCCAGTTAAATAAGAGTCCACGTAGGGGTTAAGGCCAGTTTCTGTCCATGGTTCCTGCAGAGGGCACCCAAACCAAGCAAAGGCTCCTCTGGACTTGGCACTCTGCCCTATTCAGAGTAGCGTGCTTCCTTTCCAACCTTTCCAACCTAGAGCACCATTCATTGCCTATTGCTAAGTAACAAATTACCCTAAAACTTAGTGGCTAAAACAACAACCATTTTATCTCATGGAATCTGTTGGTTAGGATTTAGGACAGAGCTTGGCTGGGCAATTCTTTTGGCTTCAACTGAGGTCACTCAGTGGGACTCAGTTGGCAGATGGGCAGGACTAGAGAATTCAAACTGGCTTCACTCACATGTCTGGCACCGTGGTGGGGATGGCTGGAAGCAGGCTCATTAGGACTGTCAGCCAGAGACTCTCTAACACAGCAGTCTCAAGGTAGTTGGTCTTCTTACGTGATGGCTGCTTTCTCCTAGAATGAGCATCCCAAGAGCTGCTTGGTTGTTTATGACCTAGCCTGGAAAGTCACACAGCATCACATCCACAGTATTCTATTGCTCCAACAATCAAAAGCCCACCTGGATTCAAGAGGGACACAGACCCTACATCCTTAATGGAAGAGCATGTAAAAAGCCACCTACTCAAAGTCCTTTTCCCCCCTCCCTTCCCCACCCCCCCCACCCCCTCCCCAGTGTATTTGGTCTACGGCCATTGTTCTCAGATGAGATGTTTCTCCAGAGTAGTGGCTCCTAAAATGTGGTCCCTGGTCCAGTACCATCAGCATCCCCTGGGACCTTGTTAGAAATATAATCAAGTCCCCCCCCCCCCAGGAGCGGTTGAATCGGAAGTTCCAAAGTGGGCCCCAGTAATCTGTGTGACAAACCCTTCAGGACATCCTGATAAACCCTAAAGCTTTAGAACCTCTGCCCCAAGAAAACAGACTCCCTTGGTGAGCCTCAAGTGATGAGTTTCCTCTAAAGACCTTACTTTGCTCACAAATTTGTCATTCAGCTGGCTTTGCAGGTGGATAAAGACTTCTGGGGCCAAACCCCATCCCTGTGCTTCCTTGGTTGTTAGGAGCCTGTGGGCTGACCTGGATCTTTGGGGATCAGTTGAACGGAGCTTGGGCCTCCGTTACTGGTGAAAGGGTTAAAAACCAGTCCAGACTGAGAGAGGAAAAGTCAGCCCTGTTTCTGGCATTCATCAGAGTGCCACAGCAGACACTGATAAAGCCAGCTGCAAAGTTAACGGGAAGCAATCTTCCTGCCAGATCTGCCGTATCATGATCACTCTTTTGAGGGACTACTGCTCGCCTTTCAGTGACGGCCCCAGCCTTGCTTTTTACTCCTGCAACCTGAACAAAAATCACGGTGAACTTTTGTGACAAAATTTTGCAGCGTGCAATCCTATCAGTAAGATTGAAACTTTCCACTCTTGCCTGGAAGACCTGAGCCACGTGAGTCACTTTGACACAGACAAGCAGTTTCAGTTTCTACCGTAGATACAGAAATTCTGATAGGGATTTTCAGGCATAACATTCCATGCTTTTTTTCCCAACTAACTTTGTAGTTTTCCAAGGAATCAGGACCTGGGTCCACTTCCTAGTCCAGGCTTCATCTTGACCCCCATTATACACTGCCTGCTCTGCTTTGAGCCTGTCCCCACAATGCTGCTTTTACATTCTACCTATACTCCACCTCTCCCCCCAGATCCTATCATAATCTGGTCTTTCTTGGTTTGGTGAAATGCCCCATTGTTCTCTGGTGTTCGGTCTCCCTCTGCAAGTCAGCAAACCTAATTTTGTTGGTCTACATAAGTTTTGTTGGTTCATCCCTGGTGATATTCATCAAATGGGCCAATGTGCTGCAAAGTGTGAGAACCACTGCTCTTTTTCACTGATTTGTAGTAAAGGCTGTGGTCCAAACTGCCGTCAAAAGTGGACTCATGCAACCAGCCTCAAAGGGGGAAGAAAGAGATCCCAGGTCCCAAAGAGGTGACCGATTTGGTGTGAGTCACCAAATAATCATGACACAGATAAAACCCAGCCCTCCCTGAAGAGTTTCTAGGTGTCAGAAATTTTAACCATATAATCACTAAAATTCAACACAACCCTGAAAATAAGGTACTATTATTCCCAGTATAAAGATGACAAAAACAGAAAAGTAAATTATGCAAGATGATTAAACAGTGCACTGGTGACAGCCAGGCTTCGAACCCAGATACGTGAATCCAGTCCTCTTCCTTTTTTTCCCAAAAGCAAACTACACCACCTCTTTCACTACCTATGCCTCCCTGGGAGAGGCAGCCTCTCTCGAGTGGACCTATCAGAATCAGCCAAGAGCTTTTTAGGTGTGAGGAATCTTCCCAAATGTTTGCCTCAAGTGGCTCAGCACCTATTCCTGCCAAAAGGAAAAGTAAAACCAGAGACGGCCACTGTGACGGACACTGTGTACCCAGCACCCATTCACCCCATTTCTGCTCCCCACTATATCATCCAGTAGCCACCCTTTCCTTACACAGCTCATCTACTTCTGGAGAGTCGCCAGGGAGTGGGCTACGAGTGTTCTTGTAGCTTTTGCCCCTGTGGGTTCAGGAACCCAGCTGTAATCCAGTTAGCAGGTGGCATTCTCCTGATGATATGAATTGGTTCAGGAATGGGCATGTGACCCCAAACAGGCAATGAGGCTCAAGGTAAGATTTTGGGGTGGCTTCTGGAAAAAAATGTCTTGGGGGCCACTGGAATAGATGTTCTCTCTTCCTCTGGATATCGTAGGGTGCAGATGTAAGCCTGAAACTGTAACAGTCAGCTTGTGACCACCCCAAAGATCAAACTAACAGGAGAGATGCAAATAGCAGAGAGGACAGCTCAAGCAGAGAAATGGAGTGGGAGCCTTGATTGAACCATGCCTGATCTCCACCCTACCTCTGGAGTTTTTACCTTATATTGGCCAATATATTTCACCCTGTGGTTTATATGATATTTAAGTTGGATTTTCTGCCACCTACCAACAAAAGCATCTAAGCTGGCATAGCCTTTTTTAGCGACCCAACTGCACCTCTGAAGACCCTATGATATTTTCAGCCACTCCATGTGACAGCCTCAGGAGCAGCTGAAGGAATCCATCACCACTCCTAGGCAGGCCCTGTCACCACTGGAGGATACCGTCCCCACCCACAAGCTGTTAAAGCCAAAAGACAATTTAGCCCTTGTTACAGTTTCTTCCGGGTAAGGAAATGGAGGCTGTGAGACGCGACAAACCCAGCCTGAGCCCAGGTGCCAGGACTCCGGGTTCATCGTCCTTCCCTCCACACTGTGGCCCCTCAGTTCCCTACAGGACCAGCAAGTGCTCTCTGGAAGCATCTAGCTACCTATCCTGTGGCCGCCTGGCCTGCTTATTACAGGTGCCCCTGTTCCTGGGAAACCTGCTCCCTCCACCACAGTTAGCATTTCAGGGCAGGGCTGGGGACAGCCCATCTTCCCTCATCTTTCATTTCTCCATTTCACAATTCCACAGGGGGAGAACTACTATTATTATATACATATATATAAACACGTGGCTTTGAACCCTTTTATTTTCAGGGCCTTTCAGAACCCCCTTGCAATACTTGGAGACAGACCCCTCTAATATTGTGGGATCTGGTTACAAGAGCATAGGTGGAGGCTCACACACCAGATGTCTACGTATTTACATTATAATCAAACTAACAGAGTGTTCTTAAATATGCTCTCTCTGCTTACCTGTCAGTCACACCTTCATAAAGATCTAGAAGGCTGGGTTTGAATATGGACTATTTAGATTCCTCAAAGTTCTGTGGCAGCACGAGGAGAGCAAGGCCCAGCCCGCACTGAGAGGGGCCTCGTGTGTCTCTCTGTGGCAACTCCAGCCCGCCTATCCGAGCCCCATCTGCAACCCCTAAACACAGCTTGTCCCTGGTCACCCCTCGTGCTTACAGGCGTATGCAGGTCATACTCAGGCAGGCAGACTTGGGGAAGAGGCCTCAGGCTCAGGACCGCTTGGGTGAGAACTGTGGTCTCCTGGGTACCTGGAACACGGTGTGGGAGAGGGGTGTCCAGTAGGCATGTCGCCTTGGCCTCACAGACTCCCTGCCCTGTGGGGAGGGTCATGGCCAGAGGAGGGCCAGATTGGTACCTTCTAAGGCAAGAGACCCAGGACAGGGCCCCTCGTGCCAGGTCCAAGGGCAGTGTCAGAACGCCATCTCATTCTAAACAGGGTCCTAAAATAAGGCTGGGGTGAGGCTAGGTTAGCAAGACCAGGCTCTGTGACTTTGGCTAAGTCCCTCCCTATCTCTCAACCTCCGTTTCCTCCCTTGTCTCTGAGTGGGACTGGTCCACATTCTAGAATCCTCTGCAGAGCCTCAGAAACAGTGAATTCAGACCCCTCATTCCAACCAGTAATGCTGGGACTCTGGTCCAAAACCCCCAGGGAAGAAAAAGCCACAGTGGGGAAACAAACCGCTTATATTTCTTGATATCCGGAGATCCCAGCATGAAGGTGCAGCTTTCACGGGAGTAACATCACCCCCAAGGTGTGCAGTAGAGCCTGGGGGAACCCGGCTGGCCAATGTGCCCATCTCCGAAGACCTCACCCTTGGGCTGATCCCATCTGCTACAGACCCGCTAGTGACAGCCCGCTGAGCCGGAAGCTCTTGTCCGAAGCCCATCTCTGATGAAGACCTCCCCTTCAGGTTGATCCCATCTGCTACAGACCACTAGGGATGGCCCGCTGGGCCAGAAGCTCTTGTCTGCTGAGTCTCCCAGACTCAGGCACGTTAAAGTGCTCTGTACAAAAGCTCAACAGCCTCCCTCCATCTGGTAACAAACAAGGAAATCCCATTTGAGGTCTGCCACTGGGGAGACATCTTTCCAAAACAAAGCTCAGCCCCACTCAGGAAAGATGGTGCTACAAGGCAGCTCACAGTCATGCCAGACTAACGACCCTGCAGAAACACGAGGGGCTCAGGCACACAAGGGCAAGGCTCTTCACTCCAGAGACACAATGGGAAGGTCACAGGGTGTGCACAGGAGTCAGCAGGCAGCCAGGAGCTGGAGCTCAGGACAGAAATGGTCTCTGCCTAGAACAGGTATTCAGTCGTAGGGCCTCACATGGGGAGACCCGGGGTGGCATTCTCCTAAGGACCGGAAACACCAGAAGCCTGCCCAAGTGTAGGCTCAGGAAGTCACACCCTCTGGTGGTGAATCTCCTGAACAAGAGATGGACATAAGGGGCATTCACAAGACAGAGGTCCAAGTACTGAGAGCCACGAGGTCAAGGTGGTGCTGGGGATGGTGAAACTATAGAAGCTACCCTCTTGGGAAACACTGAGAAGCAGGAAGGCCACTGTTCTGCTGTTCACAAGCTGAGCACCCAGCTGGGCCTCCGCCCTTTCCCAGGGGCAGAGCACCGGTTTGGTGGCTTTCTCAGGGCTTTTTCACAGTTGGGTCCCTTCTTGGGGGAGCTGCATCCACATGAGGCTGTGCTGGGCTGTGGCCAGTTGAGGGGTTCCTCAGCGGGTGCAGAGCTGGGAGCCACTCCAAGAAGGCGGGTTCATTTCCCTGCTTTGTGGTTCACAGGCCTGGAGAGACCTGACGGCCGGCTGCCCCGGGTGAGAATGCCCACATTTCTGGAGGTCAGAGGAGTGGGAGGCCTGTCCACCACATGACCCAGATGGGATGACGACAAATTCAAAAAGCCCTGCAGGTCTAGGCGTAGGTAACAGTTGTGAGCCAAGTCCACGGTCTGGGTTGGTAACATTCCGAAGAGAAAGGGCACTGTAGGTCGGCGATTTGGCTGGATGGTAGCAATGGGAAAACGGTTCCCAGCGGGGGCATGTGGAAGGTTCTCCGGTACCTCAGATTAAGACAGGGTGCAGTGGTCCTAAGTTCTTCCGGTTGGGCCGAGTTAAAAGCATGTCTTAGCAGCAAGAGCTCGTCCTTATTTTTGTCCCACAAAGGTGACGGAAACCGGACCGGGGGGTGTGAAGTCAATTTGATGAGGGTGGAAAAGCTGCTGCCGATCCTGTGGGATGCAGCCTGCCTTCTCCGCAAAGGCCCTTCACGTGAAGTAGCGGCAGGACGTGGAGTCGATGTAGCAGTAGGGGGTGCACTGCAGGTCCCCATATGACCTGAGGGGGGCAGATATGGGTCAGGGTGCGCGCAGGGCAGCGGGCACGACGGCTCCTGCCCAGGCCTCAGGACCAAGGCATGTTCTGAGGCCACCTCTGGTGACTTCTGGTCCACCCTCATCAGACAGCTGTCACTACTGCTACCTCACTAAGGGCCTCAGGGTTTGCCAGAGAGTGCTCTCATTCTCACTTGGGGTAAGAGGCTTGGGGCAGTTGAGTTCAGGCCTCTGCGGCTTTGCCCCTTGAGCCCAGCTGAGGGATCTGGGTGGAAAGAGTTGGTAACCATGTTCTTAACACAGCATCTCTGAGAGAATCACTCCCTTCTCAAGACCTGAAAGGTTTCTAGGCGCGATCCATTGGTCATACTGTACTGATGCAAATGTTCTATTTCTGTGCGGTCCAGTCCGGCAGCCTCTAGCCATGTGTATCTACTGAGGTCTTAAAATAAGGTTAGTAGGAATGAATAATTGCATTTTTAATCTTAATTAATTTGAAGTTAAATAGCAATGTGTGGCCGGGGGCCACCAGATTGGACAGCACAGCCTATACCTCTGTAAGCCCAAGTGCTAATGTATGATGGTCACACATTATACCCATATTCACAAGCATCCCTTGAGGCCTCTAGAGATTACATGAGTAACCACAGTGAACCAGTGGGTAAGCCCCAGGCTCTATGCAGTCCTGTGTTCCATGTCCAGTTATCTACACTGACTTGTCTCCGTGAAGCCATCAATCAGATCAGACCTGCCACCTCTCTGGCAAGTGCCAGAGGATAGGGCACTTCAGGGATAGGGCAGTACATACAGACACAGAGATACAGTCAGGTCCTGGCCAAGCCTAAAGTGCTTGGAGTTTTGGAACTACACATCTGTAGTTCCCCCAGCCTGGCTCGAGACGCTGGTGTATGTTTGGGGGTGGGCATTGAGGAGAATGCCTTCCATTGAGGAATGCCTTCCATTCCTTGGACAGAGGACAGAGGGGTGGACAGAGGGGTGACAGAAAGACAGGACTGGTGTCTATTTCCCAGCCCTGCTGAGGGCCTGGGTCCAAGCTTACCAGAGGAATAGGGCTGAAAGCAAAGGCTGAAGAGACTGGATTCCTGAGGGACCTAGGAGGTATGAAGGGCCAGCGATCCATTGTGGAACCAACAGAGAAGCAGGAACTAGGGAGGAAAACCTTCTCATTTTCCCTACAACACTATACAACTCCACATCTGTGAGGATTAGGGGGAATGTGGTATGGTTTTGCATCTCATAGGCCCAGTGTCCTTCAGCTGGCTTGGGAGATGTCAACCGTGGAGGTCAATGTGAACACCCTCTGGAGAGTCCCAGATAGAAGTAGAGGGGTCCCTGAAGGGGGTACTAACTTCCCGGGGTTTTCTTGGAACAGTCATGAGCCAGCAAAATTAGATGTTAATGCTGGTGTGATCTCATCTGCACCTATAGTCCTGCCCTGGGGGTCGGAGTTGTTGCAGAGAATTCAGGTTATACAGATGCTTAGATTCTTGGAAATGCCCTGGTACCTCCATCCTCCACTGGGCTTCCTCCAGACCCACTTTCCAGAAGACTAATGTGGTCATGGTAGCCACTGGGATTGGGAGCTGCTCACCCAGGGGCAACAGCTGAACGTAGAGATTGCTGATTGCCAGGGGTCCGGGATGGAGCTGGTGACTCTCTGTCTCAGCTCAGCCTCACAGGCACTCAGGCACCCTAAGAGGGCACAGAGGGCACGTGGTCGTTATGTGTGCGTTGCCTGTCTCCCTTAGGTGAGCAGGGACCATGTGTTGTGCTATTTGTCACCATACCTCAGTGTCTAGAAAGTACCAGGAACATAAGCAGCATTAAAAAAAGTATTTGTGAAGGAAAGAGGAGGAAGCAGGCGGAGAGGGAGGCAGGGGTGTCATAATAGCACGTGAGGTGATTCCTACCCAGGGAGATAGGTCTCGCAGGTCAGGTGGCCAAAGTCAGAGCCGTCGCAGTCCTCCACTCCCTTGTGCTGGTGACCATCTCCACAGTAGGCCCGGTGACAGCCTGAGGGACACAGGGGAGTGTAGCCCTGAGAGGGTGCTGGGGTGGGACAGGCCTACCTTAGCCTGTAAGGACTGTGTGGCCTAAAGGATCCACCCAGAGCATGCACCCTCTTAAGCAGACTCCCATAAAGCTTCAGATGCATCCGGGGACTGCCCCCTCAGCCCCCCCGAATCCCACACCAGAGAATAAGGAGACCCAAGCTCCAGCCCACTCCAGCTACTTGTTAGCCAACAGAACAAGAGCAGGCCCCTTGGCCTCCCTGAGCCTCAATATCTCTATCTCAAACCTGGGGCGTGGACACCACCTCCCCTTCACAGGACACACCGTGGGTTCCCATGGAGTGAGAGTCAGGAGACTGCGCACTGGGCACAAGTGATGGCCACGGCGGCTCTCGTCTACAGAGAACTTCCACGACCCTCTTTTTACGGGGCTCCTTCCTGCTGTGTGATCTCCTATTTGACTCTGTCTGCACCAGGGGCAGAAGGGACTCCAGCCAAAGCGGGCATGCCGGGGATCACCATCCCGGGAACTGTCCCGGCAAGTACAGCTACAGAGAGAGAGATCCAGCCACTTCTCGGTCCCTGTGCCCATCGCTGCTCATTTACACAACTCCAGCCCTCAGCCAGGCCGGCTCCTCACAGCAAGGACTTAAAAATCATTCAGTGAAGGGACGTTGAATCCTTACTACACCCAGACGACCTGGCGCACATCAGCTCGCAGCATCTCTAAAGAGCTGAGCTGTCAGTACCGACACAGCCAATTTTCAGTGGAGGAAAGTGAGACTTGAGCTGTGAACTGCCCTTCATCCCCCACTCACTGAGAGCCTCCTCTAGGAACATTCGAACTCTACTCCGTCCGGCTCCAAATCCCCCACTTTACACACCACCTCCTGTTTTTGTCACGTGATTAAAAGAAGAAGAAGGAAAGCAAACCCTCCAGTGCGGTGCCGCCTGCCTGTCCCCGTAGCATCCCATCAGCCTGAAGTCTGCTTCCCCTAGGAAGGCCTTTGTCACCAGGGCTCCATCTGGTAAAAGTCCTGATGCAAATTCTTGGCTTCTCCCTTTCATCTTTCACTCTGTATCACCTTTATCTTTTGATAAAGAACGTGAACTGGAACGTGGGCTTTGCCAAGAAGTAGGATTCAGGGAAAAGGAGGGATTGGTGGCTTCTCTAGGGGCAAGACCCTTGACACTAACCCACAATGATATGCGTGGGCAGTAAAAAGTCAGCATTTGGCCTGAATGGGAGGGCCGTCCCCACAGCAGCCCAGGGGTACTCCCTCTGGCTTGGAGATCACCCCAACCCACCAGAGCTGGCATCCAGGGGCTTGCCCTCCCTCATCCAGGCCCTCCCCGAGGCAGGCACCACTCACTGATGCAGCTGTCACCCACGTCATCATTTCCGTCATCACACTCCTCCCCGGGCTGCAGGACTCCATCCCCGCAGGAGCCACGGTGGTCCACAGTATAGTCCACAGGGTGGAAAGGGGTCACCTGGCCAAAGAAACACAAGACCGTTACTATGGATGGCATGACAGGTTGTTGGCACTGGGATGGAGACCCCGGGTCTGGGCGGGGGGTTCCTCCCGGATGGGAAAGGCACCCCTCTCCTATGGTCCAGAGCTCTGCACTTGGCGGGAAGGCTGGACCAGATCAGGACAGCATCCTGGCCGTGTGGGGATGGGAGACCATCTGGAACCCTGCCTCCAAGAGGAGGTCCTATGTGGCGGGCGGGGGCACGGAGAACTGCTCAGAAGCAGAGAAGAGGAGCGTGCCCAGCCCTTCCACGGAAACAGACTGCAGAAAGCTCTGCACTAGGCCCAACCGGTGGCCCTTCTTTCCTCGGGTATGTCCTGAGTGTCTGCCTCAGGGTACCTGGATGGGGAGCCAGCCAAGGCTGTCCTTGAAGTACAGAGATCTCTGATCTTTGCGGAAGGCAATGGCGTTTTGGGTGTTCAGCCTCTCGAGCTCCTCCTGGTTGTTGACCACAAAAATCTGCCAGAGAACACACTGGTGGGGATTCCAGAAAACACTTCTATAGGGGTCAGGGGAAAAGCTGGAAGAGGACACAGAATCTCCATCCTTGGGCTGGTTAACAGTGGGAGGGGGAGTATGCATATCACACACCGGGGATCCTCCTGAAGTCGTGAGGGATGTCCTGATTCCCCCATCTTCTCAACCCAGTTCCTAAGGTCTGGGTTTGCAATAAGAATGTCCACAATTTAAAAATTTTCTAACATGTAAAATGTTCCCGAGACTTAAATAAAAACATGATGTCATCTAATCAAGTAATTCAACATCTGGAAAGGAGTCTTAACAAAACTGTTATACTCAAAGGTGTTCATTACGGTTTTATTTACATTACTGAAAAGCCTGGGAGAACCGTACAAGTACCCAACAACAGGGCCCTGGTTAAATAAATCACAGCACAGCCGCATGATGGATGGATGATTATGCAGCCATTCAAGTGATGAATTAATGTCCAGGGTTACCTCTAAATAATCCAAGGGAGGGTGGGCAGCAGTGAGTGGGTATAAAGAGGAAACAGGATTAACCAGGAGTTGATACATGTTGAATTTGGGTGAAGGGTACATAGAGGTTTATTACACTATTTGTTCTGCTTTTGCATTTACTTAAAATATTCTATAATTTTTTGTCCTTAAAAAAGAGACAAAGAAAAAAAAAACCCTCAAGTTGGACCCACAACCAAATGGACAACTTGGTTTCCTAGATTTTTATTTTTCCCTTATTTTCCAATTTCCTATAATGAGTGCGTACCAGGTATAATGAGGAAATCAGTTTATTAAAAGGCTTTTACAAGCTCTTGGAGGATCAGGTGAGAGGTCCCAATGGATAACCACCAGATTTTCTCCCAGGAGCCTTACCACAGGAACATGAGGGGAGCTGGACCCATACATGGATTCCCTGTAGGAGGGGTTATTCACATTCGTAGGGGTTCCACAAAGACAACTTCCTGGAGGCCCGGGAAATCCTCTGTCCCCTTTGGGTCCCATCACAAGTTGTCCTAGGAAGCAACAGAATGCTGTGTTACTAGAGCAAAGGAAGTGAAAACCAAACAGCCCCGGGGAGATGTGAGCAACCTTTACAACAGAAAGAAGGTCAAAGTCCACAGCATCTTAGGGTAGGCCCTGGGGAGAGGTCTAAAGAGACTCTTTTGATCCAAGATATGGAGGAGGTGATGTTCTCTGTGGGTCCCTTAACCATACCGGGTGCTGGGGTACCTTCCCCAATTCTCTCCGTTCCCTTTCTCTATGCTTTGGAAACCAGACAGACATTCTACTTCCCAGATGACCTTGCATGCAAGGTCTGTGATGGGAGAAGGGTAAGCATCTGAGAAAGTCTATCCTGATAAGGAAAAAACAGAGCTGGTGAGAGACCTAGCTTTCTCCTTCTTCCTGTCTAGAAGACAGACAACATGCCTGGTGCAGCAGCAGCCACACTGCAACCCTGAGGTAATAGGTATGAGAAGAGAAGCCAACATACAGGAAAGACCAGGGGCGCATGAGGCATGGTACCCTGATGGTGACACTTAGAAGCTGAACCAAAGTCAGCCATTGTTGACCTCTCTGGACCTCCTTGTATGAGAAAAACAATCTCCTTTTTGTTTAGACTATTATTAACAGGGATCTAAGGAACACAATGCTGACAACTTCTATTATTTTTTTATTCATTTTATTTTGTTCTTATTTGTGAGATCTTTACGAAGGAATATCTAAAGGTGGGTTTCTTTCATTCCTTCTGGAAGAAAATGGAATGCCTGAAAATGCTCCACCTACTTGTTCTCCCCTGGTACTGAGAAGAGTGTCGTGAACATATATGATTAGGAAATGTATTCCCTGCAATGTGGGTGATCTGCTTGGGCAGTAGTCTTCACCTAGACTTTTAAAGGTCCTAATGTCCAGGCCACAGTCCAGACCAATTCCATTAAGAATGCAGAGAATAGAACCCAGGCATCCATACTTTTAAAAGCTCTCAAGATGATTCCAGTGTATACTAAGGTCGCGAACGCTGGTCTAAGGAAACGGTCTTTGCACAAGCCATTTCCCTACTAGATTATTCTTCCTTCACCCTCCATCCCTCCTTCCTCAGGTGCCTTCCAGCTAGCTCCTGATCTGGATTCAAATATCACTTCTGCAGGGAAGCCTTCTGAATCTTCGCACTCTGGCACGTTCACTTGGATAATGTCATAGTTCCCTATGCCTTTTCTTCGCAGCACTTATCTCTGTTTGCGATTTTGTATCTTGTGAGATTATCCGATCAAGGTCAATCTCCCCCAGTGGAATATAAGCTCCACAAGGGCAAGGTTGATACCCGTTTTCATTCACAAGGGTGGGATACACAGTAGGGACATGATACATGCTTGATGATGGAATGAATGAGTGTAGACTCACTGGAAAGAAAAGGTCTTCAGAAAAGGCTTAAAAACCCCGGTTGGCAGAAAAGAATGAGAGCAAGAGCCATCCAACAGGGAGAGAGGAAAGAGGAAACATAGAGACTGACAAAGGAAGGAAGGAAGTATGCCTCCTCCTGGAAAAGTAAGGACAAGGCTGGAGGCCAGTCACTGGTTTCAGGTTGTATAACTTCCCAAGGCAGCCAGCAACTAGGGATACAGCTGGCAGATTCCAGAAGGGCAGAAAGTAAAATGACTCCAGGGGAAAGGTCTGGTCAGGAACCCAAAGAAGCAGCTTTAGCTAGAGGAAGAAACCCCAATGGGAATACCCTCCCCACAACCTTGAGCCTTCCTGAGCTGGTGGACAGATATGTCCAAGATCAGAAGAATGCCAGTTCGAGGGCTGGGGCGGGGGCGGGCATTGCCAACATTTCATACCAGGTTGTGGTGGTTGCTTGAACAAGAAATAAGAATACAACGCTGTAGGAGGAGCTCCAGTCCCGTGTTCTGATGTTTTCAGCACAGCCCAGAAAGACACAGACTCCACCAGGCCAGGAATACTCTGGGTAATTATCACCCCTGGGGAAACTGACGTGGGAATGTTCTGTAACCAAGGATGCGCGAGTGGCATTGGAGAAGGTTCTGTGACCCCAACAACTCCTCCAGAACCATGGCCTCAGAGAGGGTCAGGCGTTGGTCCCACTGTCCGGCCAACAAGTGGTGAGGCTGAGATTTGAATTCATGTATGACTTCACACTATGCCATCAAAAGACAAAGTCCAAGAATATTGATGCTTGCAGGAAGCTGGAAATTCCCAGGTACCACAGTGATTCACTTATACCCGGTCTGGGTGCAGGAAGGACTCACTCAGATTTGTAATTTGGTTACTTCAAATCACACCCTAGAGGCATTTTGCCTTGATTCCCTCGGCCACCTCCTAGCACCTCTTTCTCTGTAACTTGGGTGATAAAAAGTTCCCCCTCCACCTCCCCCCAGCACTGTCCTGCCCCACAGCTCTGGGCACCAGAACCAGAGGTGGCCTCCAGAGAGGGTGACAGGATGTGGCAGGGAGCCCGCTTCCTGCCACCACTGCAGTTTCCCTGCCGCTTCCTCTCAGCTGTCAGAGGGCATCTGTTACCCCTGCCTGTTTCCTGCCAGGATCCACTGAAGGGCACAGCAACTCGAACTGCCCCACCTCGGCCTCTCAGAGCTGGTCCAGCGGGCCTGCCTGATCCATCGTCCCGTGGAGCCAGAAGGCCTGGCTCTCCATCTGTGCCCAGACTGCCTCCCATCGCTGCTGGCTGTGCAGCGGGAGCAGGCCTCACATGGGAACCTGCGAGGAGGCAGAGGGACCACAGAATAGTCTCCACATCACCCCCAGCTCTTACTCTGCCTCAGCAGAGGCTGCATGGCTAAGTGGGAAGGGTCTCTAGACCAGGAGCCACAGACTGATTCTGGGCCGGGCAAGGCCACCACCGGTCAAGCTCTGTGACCTCCAGGAAGTCCCTTTTCTCTGAGGTTCAAAGTTCTTTTCTATAAAGGGAGGGCTGGATAAGACCAGGGTTGTTTGACTTGTGGTTCACAGAGCCCAAAGACATTCTAAGATGGATCTGGGGCAGGGGTTCTGGAACTCTGGGAAGCAGTGTGCAGAATCTTGGGCGCAGATACAACATGTATTTGTCCTGAGTGGGTGTGGGACTTTTATCAGACTCCAGAGACAGTCTCAGGAATCACTTCTGGGGCCTGTTCCCATTCTTGACGATTATCCAACTGGCCCCAGGTCCAGGTTAAGTTATCTTTTAAATTCCTCCCTCCTCTTCTTTCCCTACCCTGTACCCTGTCCCCCTCAAAAAAAAAGTTTCCAAAGAGCAGGATGATTGCCCCATTTTCTTTAGCCCCTTCACTCTGGGAGGCTCCCCAGAAAGGAAGTGACTCATAGGAAGGCACAGGAAGGGGACCTGAATCAGAAATGGACTGCATCCTGCTTGCCTGCTATGCAATCACCCGAGGGGGACAGCCTGAGAACCAAAATGGCCCATGTCTGCGAGTGCTTGTGGTGCACAGCCCTGCCCCGCCCACCTGCCAGGTGCCATGGGATGGTAAAGCTGACCGGCCATCGACACTGCCTCGAGGACTTGCTATCTAGAAGGAAGATGAAACACATCTGCAGAAAAGTTATCATTGAAGGGCCATAGCAGAGAGGCAATATGTACTTGGGCCCAGGGAAAGGAGACCCATCCTGTTAGGGACCAAGGAAGGCCTTACCCAAGAGAGGGCTTTGACAGAAGAAGACGGTTTCATCGGGTGGACCAGAGGGCTGGCCTAATGACCTCTCTTTGCATCCACACCGCTCCCCAAGATCCTGGCTACTCTCCTCAGTTTTGTGAACTGCTTAAATACCTCAAGGGCCAAGAGAGTCCTCCCCAAAGAAAACTCAGGCCTCGCGCCATGCTCTCGGTCCCTGGGGCTGGCAGCTCATGATCCTGGGCCTTGAGGGGAACATTACTCATGCCGGAAGCGAGGAAGAGGACTTCAACTGACCCTTGAACAACACGGGTTTAAACCGCATGGGTCCTCTTAGATGCAGATTTTTTACAGCACAGTACTATAAATGCATTTTCTCTTGTTTGTGATTTTCTTAATAACATTTCATTTCTCTAGCTTCCTTTCTTGTAAGCTTACTGTATATGACACATATAACACACAAAGTATATGTTAGTCCACTGCTATCAGGAAGGCTTCCAGTCAACAGCAGGCTATTAGTAGTTAAGTTTGGGGGGATTCAGGAGCTTATATGTGGATTTTCAACTGTGCTGGGGTTGGCGCCCCTAACCTCCACATTTTTTGAGGGTCAAGTGTAGTTGGAAGGACCCCCATAGGGATTGTCAAGTCAATTCCCAGAAACAGACTGTGGGGCACGGACACATGGCCCAGGATGCATCTCCAATCTAGTTCCCTTAACAGCACAGAAATAGGTGCGGCAAGATAACTTATTGTCGTACTAACTGACATTTGTTTTCTCACTTTTTCCTCTCCCAATTTCAAGGAGGTAGCAAGATTTTGTGCTTTCTTGCCCTTGCCGAAAACAGGTACTGTGTGAAGACTTTTGCCTTTCTGCCCTCTGTTCTCAGAAGAGAAAAGCTCCTGAGACGGGTGGCGGTGCATGAGGAATATGAGAAGCAAGGCGCTGGAGGTCAGAAGAGGGGAGATGACTCCAGACATGGAGAGAGAGGGACCCCCTGTGTTTTGGAGATAAGGTAAGGAAGGTCTCAGAAGGAACAGCTATGGGACTTCTTGGGAAACTGAACCACAGGGACCAGGCTTGGCAATGTTCCGATACCCGAGCATGACATGAAGATGGCAGTCACCAGGCACCCTCGGACCACGTGGCCTGGGATAGCGGGCATCTCAGAGGTGAACAGGGCAGATCAAAGGCTGGAGGGAACTCCCCTGATGTTTTTCTGCCATAATCCCCAGGATCTTTGCCCAAATCTTTTTAGGTAGTTAGAGGAGTGGAGAGAACCTCCTAATACCTGAGATGGAATTTTCCTGGCATCCCGGAAGGTTAGAATCTCAGAACCAGCTTTAATTTGGTTGAAAGGAGCTAACAAATTATGACATTTCTAGACCATCGCATTACATGGTTGTGAATATATTCCCATAGACCCAGGGAGGAGAAGTACAATGTAGAATTTTAAAATGCCTTCATTTTAAGTTAAGAATAAAATTGTAATACCAATTGTTTTGTTTCCGTGTGTATAACTGAGAGCCAAGAACCCTACATAGTAAAGAGTCTTCTCAGACCTAGAGATGCTGTGTTTATGCAGGAAATGTGCTCTGAAAGGCCATATTTGGAGCTGACGAGGGAACAAACTAACGGGTTTAGCGCATCAAATTAAACATGGTAAACAAGCAGTGTATCTATGCCCTCGTCGATGGCAGACTTTGATTTCTTTTCAGGGTTTCTTTGTATATTCAGCGTAAACCAACAAGGACGTTTTCACGACACCACATAAGATAGAAAAATCGGCCACATCATCTTTACTTCTAGGATTAAGTAAATTGCTTGGAGCCATGAACGGCTTTTCCAGAAAAAGGTGTTAGTTGATGAAAAATGTGCCTGTTATTTTTCACTTGAAGTATAAATGACATCACCAATGTAATTATGTTTGTTTGTTTTTTCCTCCTCTATTTGTTCTCCAAAATGCTACAACAGAGTCAGGATATTGTTTATCTCTCTTGTGTAGAAGTTGAATGAGCCAAGCTATGGAGAAATTATAAATATATTAAAAGCATCTCTGGTACTTTCTAACTCAAAACACAAGGCAGACCTCTGCTGTGCCCTCTCTGGGGAGGTTGGCCAGGAGTGCAACACTGTGGATCAAGTGAAGCAGTGTGGCTCTTACCTGTGGATGGGGGGCCCGGGGGGCCTGGGGGACCTGGACGGCCAGGTTGACCAGAAGGCCCAGGCTTGCCTGGTGGGCCCATTACTCCACTATCTCCCTTCTGCCCCTGACAGAGAGAAAGGCAGAGCCTGTTATGACAACATGACATGGCAAACTTCTTTCCCCATTTATGTCTAAATCAGGGACCGCCTTGCACTTTGGAGCAGGAGCCCAGAGCAGGATTCAGCCCCAGAAGCCTTGACCCCCAAACTCCTAAAAAGCTCAGGGCAGGGGCACCTGGCTGGCTCAGCTGGTAGAGCGTGTGACTTTTGATCTCAGAGTCGTGAGTTCAAGCCCCACAGTGGGCATGGAGTCTACTTAAAAAAAAAAAAAAAAAGCTCAGGGAAAGTGACATTTGAGATTGTGATGGTTACAAGTTTGTAGACATTACTTCTTGCTCTATTCTGGAAACATGGCACTGACTGCTGAAAGGAACCAATCCAACCCACTCCTCTCACGGGGCAGAGAAGGAAACAGAGGCTCAGGAAAGAGCAGAGATGTACATTAAGTCACCTAGCATTGAGGCAGCAGACTTGGGCCTAGCCTCAGGGCTCTGCTTGCTCACCAAGACCATTTTTCTTTTACCACAAGACCTGTTTCCGTCGAATGAATTTCCGTTGCTCTCAGGATAAAGACCCAGATCCTTATTTCACCTACAAAGGCCTGTATGGCTGGCCTTTCTAGTCACGTTCCAGCCTTTTGGTGTTTTTGGTCTTCAAGAGCATCATGCCTTTTTTTTCCCCCCTCCTCTCTGCCCCAACTCGCTCTCCACTCCTCTGCCTAGTTAACTGCCTCCCAGCCTTTAGCTCTCACGTAAAATGTCACTGCAGGACAGCCTTCCCTGGCCTTGCCAGACTAAGTCAGTCCTCCCGGTCACAGGCTCTCAGAACTGGGCCTCTTTCCTTCCAGGCTTTTATCCAGGTCAGAAATGCACCAATATTTGTGTGGTCCTTTCATCAGTGTCTCTCCATGAGACATAAGCTCCCTCTGGGCCCGAATTTGTCTTGCTCACCTCTCTTCCCCAGATTAAATGAGGGAGGAGGAAGATACTGAAAACACAAAGGGGAAGCAGTTCTGGTGAGCTGGAAGTCAAGAGACCTGGATTTTCACGTTGGCCATGAGACCCTGGGTAACTCACATCATTGCTTTGTGCCTTTTTTCTCATCTGTAAAATGGGGCCAGTAAGCACACACCTTCGCAGCTTTGTTGTGAGGCTAACAAAGATCTCAGAGGTGAAAAACCACTTTGCACAGAACCAAGGGCTAAGGAAGCCAAGCTGACGATCACAGCAGCTAGTTTGCTTTCATCTTTTTCACATGGTTAGAAAAGGCCTAATTCCTTAAAGAGAGCCACACCTGTAGCTGTAGCCATTCCACATAGGATGTTCTCTTTGCTGCCTCTTCTGAGAGGGTTAAGAGCGAAGATTCCCTCCTTAGGGCTGCTCTTAGAAATGACCCTAGAAACCAAGATCTGTAGATTCTTCCCCTCCACAATTTGCTTACTGTGTGTTCGTATGCTGGTGCTAAACTGGACAGTGATTGATGCACGACATCTTTGACCTGGATCCCCTTTGTACACTTGTGCCTTGGCAAGCTTGCCCATGTAATGAAACATAATCTTCCCCAAGTCTGGGAAGCAGGCAGGCAGGGCACTCCTTTTCAATCACAACAGTGACATGTGGCCTGCTGCCTTGTCAACATGGCTCTGGGGAACCTCTTGACAATGTCCAAGGACTTCTTAAATTCTTTTGTTGTATTCATTCATTCATTCATTCATTCATAGGAGTTCTTAAAGTCCTAATATGGGACCTATAAGGGCAGAGTTTATTTCCAATTCCATCCTGATGGAAGGAGTTCTTAATCCTTGGCCCAAGCTGAAGCTTGGTAACTAAGATGGGTCCCAGAATAGCAAAGGAGGTCACACCATCTTAATATAGCCACAGTTAAGGCTTGTTTTTCTAAAAGCCACATCATCTATGAGCACAGGAAATGCCACAGCTTGAAGGGGCTGGAAGGTACTCCTTGATTCTGACACCAGCAATAATGCATTATTCTGCATATCTGTCATTTGTTCAGAACAAGCCATATCTCTATGAGCAGGACTCACTGAGCAGCGCTTTCCAGGAAAGGCGTTGTTTATTCCTTTACTGCCATAAAATTTGGTGATCCCTCTCAAAGAAGCTGCTCTGTCTCCTTAACTGAAGATTTGTATCATAGAGTCAAGAGCTGTTTCCCTGAGCCTGGTTTAAAGCAAGCGCTGAAGCATGAAGGTGAAGAGAGAAGGTGTGTGGGGAGAAGCAGGTCTCAACTCTCTAAGTTCCAGTGCTGGCTTGGAAGTTCACTTGGCTGGGGATCACTCTACTTCCCTGGCCCTTAGGTTCCTTGTGACTAGACAGAGATGAGGTGTTCTCTAAAATCCTTCTGGCTGTGAAATTCTAATCTCCTGAAGTCCCTTCTGGACCTCTGATTCCAGGAGTTGGATTGACTTACATTAACCTCCAGAAACTCTTAGCACCACTGGCCTGACAACACTTGGTGTATAAGACTCTATGCTAGGAAACTAATTCATGATTTAAAAAAAAAACAACAACAACAACAACACGGGCGCCTGGGTGGTTCAGTTGGTTAAGCGTCCGACTTCTGGCTCAGGTCATGATCTCGCGGTTCGTGAGTTTGAGCCCCGCGTCGGGCTCTGTGCTGACAGGTCGGAGCCTGCTTCAGATTCTGTGCCCCTCCATCTCCCCGCCCCTCCCCTGCTCATGCTCTGTGTCTCTCTGTCTCTCAATAATAAATAAACGTTAGGGAGCCTGGGTGGCTCAGTCGGTTTAGCGTCCGACTTCGGCTCAGCTCATGATCTCGTGGTCCGTGAGCCTGAGCCCTGCGTTGGCCTCTGTGCTGACGGCTCAGAGCCTGGAGCCTGTTTCAGATTCTGTGTCTCCCCCTCTCTCTGACCCTCCCCTGTTCATGCTCTGTCTCTCTCTGTCTCAAAAGTAAATAAACGTTAAAATAATAAAAATAAATAAATGTTAAAAAAAAAAAAAAAAACCCACGATGGCAGGCTCCCAAAGCTAACAACCCAAGTATCTGCTGACTAGACAGGCAGTGAGGGTTCAGAGCACACTCAGCTTGTTTATAACATCTTGTAGGAAGGATGAGCTCATTTCTCTGAGCTCCCACACATGGCGCTGGTGTAGTTTGAAGAATGTCCCAACCGAATCATTCTCAACAGTGTCAAGAAATAGCCGTCTTGGCTCCAGCCTTCACCAGGAAAAGACAAATACCACCCCAGAAGGGCACTAGAAGCACAGAAGCCTTCTAGAACTTCAAGCATAAAGCTTTCTGCATGGGATGAGCAGTAGGGAAGAAAAAGATTTTCCCTTTTTTTTTTCTCCTTTTTCTGAGCCTAGGTTTTAGGGCATTGGTATCTGTGGCATCATTGTGAAGTCATGGACGTGCCAGCCATCGTAAAACCTCGAAAACTGAACTGGACTATTACGACTTCAAAAGTTATAATGGAATTTGTATTATCTGGGGTTGGAGCCTGTGTCATTCCTAAGTTCACGTGGAAAAGACCAGAATTGGCTTCACACTGTGACCATTGTTCTGAACGTTGGCTACATATTAGTATCATATAGAGAGCTTTAAAACAAAAAACAAAAAACCCCACAACAACCCATTCTAAAGCCCCACGCCAGGTCAATTACATCAGATGCTCTAAAAAATAAGGCCTAAGTGCGGGGAACAAAAGGAGGCAAACTTGGAACTACAACCACTGCACCTGGGGCGGAGAATCTGTATCGAATCAGCCCCCTAAGTGATTCCGATATAAGCTAAAGTTTGAGAACCATGGACCCAGCCTAAGAAAAGAATAAAAGCTTAAGAATGGAAAAAGGTTTGTGCCCAAAGATATTCACCTCTCAGCATCTGTATATAATTTTAGTTAGGCCTCTCTTGTCCAAGCAGTCTACTGCTTTACTCATTTACAAAATGCAATGCAGACATTTAAAAGAGCTTAATAAATATGTGCAGGAATGTGCAAAAATGTGTGACTTTAAGTTAAAGTTTTAGGATACAACAACTAGATATTGGGTATAAAAGAAACAAACAACCAGAAAGTTCACAAAGAAATAATACTGGAAGGAAACACACCAAAATGGTAACAGGGTTATGTCTGGGTGTTAGGTCTTCAGATGATTTCCCTTCTACTTTTCTGAATTTTCCAAGTTTTCTGTGATGATCACATATTACATTTATAATGGAAAAAGAGGTGAAAAGCCTACAAACAGACAACCAAAAAAGTAAAGGAATGATGCCTGTCCATTAGACAAAAGACAAGAAGCTTCTCCGAGGCACTCGATACAGCTCTAAAGGCAGCTCAGGCAAATGTGCCTTCATCTTTCCTCTCCCTCTCACATCACAAGTGCCTGCTGACCAGGGAGCGTTCAGAATGAACAATTTCCCCAAGCCCTTGATAGTGCCCATAAAGAGAGTCACTTACAGCTCAGGGGCCCGAGTAGGGAAAAACCACTCTATTGTTGAGACTCAGAAGACCTTTCAACAGCAAGCAAATATTTGGATATTCCCCCAAACTCCATTTGTGTCTGGAGCACTGAGGCAAAAAGCAAGTTTTCTGGGTAAACAACAAGATCTGGCTTCCATTCCCAGTTGCTTTGGTTAAGGTAGACCTGTTCGTATGAAGCAAAGATCCACTCCTGCTTCTGGCCTTGGACACAGTTTGAATGGAGCATTCTAGCCCATCTGCTTCAAACCTCGGTTAGCCTAGAGAAGCAGGAGCTCCTGGAAGTGGTGCTCTTTCTGCCCACCAGCCTAGAGGACGTTGGGGACTATGCCTATGTGATTGGCTCCACCTGTCTGCCTCTCTACCCCATCTGCCTACATCAGGAGGAAATGACCTCAGGAGCGTGGTAAGCACTGGGATCCTTACCTGCTTGCCTCGTTTTCCTGGTCTTCCTCTGGGTCCCCTGTGTCCTGCTATCCCAGGCTCACCCTTTGGACCCATTTCACCCTGGAAAGAAGAAAGAGAAGGAGAGAGGAATCTGTGCATGTGGAGCAGGCACTCCTCTGCAGGTCCGTCTGTAGACCAATCACTGGTCATGAGGGCAGTGCACTTGATCGTTCCAGACCTTTTCCAATCGGACAGTCTGAGAGACTGGGAAAGTGATGAGGCCATGTGAAAGGTGGATAGATTTTTCAAGGAAAAGAAAGGAAAGATTACCCTGGGTGGGTTATTTATTCTCCAAGACAGACAGCTCCTGGGCGCCACATATTTTGGTGTCCCAAATCACCATCCCAAACAGCCAAAGTAGGAGATTCTTGCATTTCCGTGATATGTATGCCTGTGACGCTGCAAGCTGCCAGGGGAAAATGCTTTCTCTTTTAGGTGCAATTTTATGTTGTACTGTGTTTTGTTTTTATCACAAATTCAAATCTGTGAGTTTTTGAATGATTGGACACAGTTTTGACAACTATCATCTTTGGGAAGTTTCTGCTCACGTAAGGACCTTTATGTAGGGTTATACACTTCCCTACTCTTCTGTACAAACTGGTTTCAGTTCTAGCTCACTTTCATTTGATTTAGATGAAAACCATGGGGAAAAATGTTCCAGACATATTTTCAAATGCTCAATAACTACAAAAGGCATGGAAGCAATACTTCTTCTTCTTCTTTTTTTTTTTTTTTAACATTTATTCATTTATGAGAGACAGAGAGCACAAGCAGGGTAGGGACAGAGAGAGAGAGGAAGACACAGAGGCAGAAGCAGGCTCCAGGCTCCGAGCTGTCAGCACAGAGCCCAACGCGGGGCTCGAACTCACAAGCTGTGAGATCATGACCTGAGCCGAAGTTGGAAGCTTAACCGACTGAGCCACCCAGGTGCCCCTGGAAGCAATACTTCTAGTTGAAAAGCCCTACTTTGAACAATCAGAACCAAATGCACCAATTGAAGAATTCCATAGTTTAAGGCCAACCTTTTGTAAAACCCATTTTTCCACTATAGTTTCTCTCTTTCCTCGTGTACTGCTAGGATTCCAGGACCACTTCCTGTTTATTTGGGTGACGGAGCCTACAGAACACCACTCCTACCTCCAGTTATCCTCCCACAGCCCAGAACGCACCACCAACAAGCTAACTTTAGCAACAGCAACCGGGGGAGTTTCGGTTAGTCAGCATCCAGTGTCCATAAAGAGCTGCTCCAGGCACTCAGAACAATAAACACCCAGTGGGCTCTTCACATGGAAGTCGGGGGAGGTATAACATAATAGAAAATTTCAGGAAGTACTAATAAAGAGTAAGGATCAAGAATACAGCTCTGAAATGATCAGTCACTCGGCCAACGTAACAAGTTGGCCCCTACCCAAGCCATCAACTCTTGCCACATCAAGAACTGTCCTTAAACCTCTGATTTCCTGGCAACCTGTCGTGTCCTCCAGCATCTGGACAGAAAGGGAGTGTGGGAGAACGGCGTGGATTCTACATGGCTATGCAGATGTATGCACTATTTCCCTTGGTTGTTTAGAGGAGGTCAGGGGGTGTTTTGTTTGGCTTGGAGAAAACAGCAGCATAAACAGTGTAGGTTTTTTGTTTTTTTTTTAAAGATTGGCAGAAGGAAGTGTGGCCCCTCTCTTCATCAACTGAAAGCAGACAGTAAGTTCTTGATCTAATTTCTAAGACCTAATTACCATTATCATATCATCTCTGTCTTAAAACAGCCTGCCATGAAAGGGAAAGAGAACTCGACATGGCAAGCCTAGTAAATGGTGCAGAGGCCAGCTGTCATACTTAATTCCACAGTAATTTATTATTCTTTGATGTTCACTGTTGCACTGAATGAAAACCTAGCCTAATATTTTTAAATCAGATTAGTTTTTTCTCTTTTAATGTTTCCTTTAATTTGTTTATGTAATTATTTTTAATCCAACACTCCACCTAGGGAATAGCAGGAACAGTTTTTTGACAGCTTAAGGCAGTGGTAAATAATAATAAATTAATGGCAGATGACTGACATTATTTAAATATGCTCGGGGCACCTGGGTGGCTCAGTCGGTTAAGCATCCGACTTCGGCTCGGGTCATGATCTCACAGTTCATGGGTTCAAGCCCCATGTCGGGCTCTGTGCTGACAGCTCAGAGCCTGGAGCCTGCTTCAGATTCTGTGTCTCCCTCTCTCTCTGCTCCTTCCCTGCTCTCACTCTGTCACTATGTCTCTCAAAAATAAGTGAACATTATAAATAAACAAACAAATAAATAAGCAAGCAAGCTCTACTGACAGCAGGTCAGATAAAAATTGTTAACTCAAGTTGGAAAAAAGAAAACTTTAAGATAAATTTGAAAGACAATTAGAATTCTAAGAAAGTGGGGCGCCTGGGTGGCGCAGTCGGTTAAGCGTCCGACTTCAACCAGGTCACGATCTCACGGTCCGTGAGTTCGAGCCCCGCGTCGGGCTCTGGGCTGATGGCTCAGAGCCTGGAGCCTGTTTCCGATTCTGTGTCTCCCTCTCTCTCTGCCCCTCACCCGTTCATGCTCTGTCTCTCTCTGTCCCAAAAATAAATAAAAACGTTGAAAAAAAAAAAAAAGAATTCTAAGAAAGCATGTATTTGCATGTTTGAAGAATACTATTCTCTGAGGCTCAGGTGAAAATGACCATCTCCCAGGCCAACGCTTTAAGCATGAGGAACTCCTGTTACAAGTTACTATGTTAGATACAGTTGTTCTGAGGGGACATTTATGCACGCTCTCTTTATCCCAACACCTCCTCTCACCACCCCCCTTTCTTTCTAGACCCTGGCCCTAAGTAAAAGGTTCCAGAAATCTATTAGTCACTTGCCACTTCCACAATTTTTGTCATATTGGCACACCGCTCTACTGTTAGTTGCTGGATATTTTTTAAAGTCAACTGAATGAACTCCCATTTTTATTAAGACTTGTTCCCAGCAAGATATCCATGAAATCCCACTAAATAGTTAACTATTTAAATGAAAAAATGCAAATAAAAAAGGGTTGTTGTCACCCAGTTAAAATAGCTCTGTGTGCCTCTGACAGTACACGTACTGCCCTCCAAGAGGGTCTAGGTTGAGGGTCTTCAACAAAGGCATTAGGCCAAAGATGCCTGTGCTTCGCGCTGGGGCCCTCGACCACTGCAGCTCAGATCTGATCCAACTGTCTGACGCTTGCTGCTTCTGAACATTACCATGGCCCTCTAAGAGGCAGGAAATGCAAAGAAAGGCCTCTCTACCCAGACAGGGCATCCTTTCCCTCCCACTGAACTGGAGGGAGGTCTCAGACCATGCGGTCACCCTCTCACTAACATGCACAGCAACCTGCTCCCCTTCTAAACCAAAACCTTCCACGACGAAACCCACTTTCCCTGCCCAGAGCCCTTTTTGTGGTGCTAAGAAGGTCCAATTTATTACTGAGGCCTATTTTTACTACTTCTAAGTACTTACTTTCTGCCCCAACATTCCAGGAAATCCCGGGAAACCCTGTGAAGAGAGCAACACACATAGTGACTGCCTCTGAGATAGTGCTTGAAAGGGCTGTGGAAGAGTGTGGTCAGCTGTTCTCAAGATAGAGCCGTCAGTCAGTCAGTCAGTCAGTCAGTCAGTCAGTAGGACAGCCCACAAGATGGCGGTGGGCAAGGGCTGCCATTTCCTCTGTAGTTTATCATTCCATGCAAAGGCCATTACCTTTTCTCCTTTGGGACCCACGTCACCCCTTTCACCTCTGGATCCCTAGGAGGAAACCACAGGAGGGAATCAAAGAGTTAATACCCTGGGGTAAAACTGGAGAGTTTCAAAATGAAAGCTCCCTAAGCCAACACACTCATTTACAGGCAAAGAAGTAGGCTTCAGGTGACTTGCCCAGGGAAGGAATGTTTTGTGGTCTACCTTTTATTTGGACCACAAAGACCCTTGCGTTAATAAAAGACAACTCGCAGAAAATTCTGGGTCCTAGATCCTCTCTCCTCCTGTGGAAAATTTGTCCCCAGGTTCTGGCTGGATTTTTTGTACTTGGTTTGGTTTCTGACAGATGAGAAAGTTGTGTGGTAGAAGCGTGGTCTACAGACAACACCAACCATCTCCCTCCAGTGCCCCGCAGGCAGGCTGTGTTTCCCCTCCACCAGTACAGACTTCAGCTACTAATCTGCGCCACGTGAGGGGCCTCTACCTCCACTGGGAGCTCCTCCCTAACCTACTCGCCCTGCCTTGGGAGGCCCTTCCCTGCTCTCTCAGTCCAATGACAAAGGACAGGGGGATATCTAGGAATGGTCACTATAGGTGCTAACTTAAGAGAAACCTGGGCCTGTCTTCTGCTCATCACTGACCCCAGAGTCAATAGCCCAGACCAGGCTCTGGGAAGCCATGGGAGACAAGCACTAACCTTTTCCCCTCTGGATCCAGGGTAGCCCTAAAAGAAAGCAAAAGGTGCATTTACGATTCGCCCTATGTAGCAGTAAACACAAAGATGTCCCTTAGGGTTATGTTTATACCAGGCCTAAAAAGAACATTCCTTTTCTTACCCCCAAAGGCCTGAACAAAGTTTTCCATCTGCCTTGTTGTTCAGAAGCTTGACCCTCCCTGCCCAGGAGAATAACAGGAAGGACATCCCTATGCCCCTGCACCCCAGGCATGATGTCCCCCAAAGGGCTGGTAAAGACAAGCACTCTGGCACTGGGCTTTCTGGTATCTGTGACACTCCCCAAGCCCAGGACAGCAGCCCCACCCAACCCCCCATCTTTGTGGACAGCAGCTGCTCCAGAGCCTTAGCGAGAAGAGCCGGGAATGTCCGTCTGGACCAACACACTGACCTTGAAGCCCATTGGTCCTCTTGACCCTGGCAAGCCCATCACACCCAGGTCACCTTTTTCACCCTGGGGGAATCAGAAGAAGATGGGGAAAAGGACCAACGGTGACATTTACTAGAGAAACAGAACCAGGAAAACCATGGGCAAGATCATGATGGAACTAGGAGCATCGGGGCTGGCTTGTGAATCTGAGGACCCCACATGCTCCCTTGCTCACTCCCAGGGGTTCAAGGCTCCATAGTTCACACTTCGTTCTGGTATTTGAGATTAAACGTAAAATGAAATTGCCCAAGGCAGAGCAGATCTCCAAACTAAATGCTAATATGCTACAAATGCTTGATCTTTTCCTGGAGTAGGTTTTGAGAGGGCGGGGAGAGAGCATGGGGGCATCGGGCCTCACAGGACTAAATGTCAACACCCCAGAAAACTTCACCTGTTTTATGCTCTGCATAGGGAGGGCCTTTCAGGCATTTTCATATATTCTCACCCTAGGTTTGCAGTCAAACAGAGTGAACATCAGCCTCTGGGCATGCATTACGGAGACAGGGGGCTAAGACTCATGGGTGGGCTCTGTTGCCCCTCAGAATGGTTTGTAGTTGGAACTTTCAGCACCCTCTGTGCTGAAAAGTAGACATATAAGATGAGCCACATACTTTCGAATTGTTTTAGAAGTTACATGAAAAGTAAAACAGGTAAAAAGTAAAACAGGTGAAATCAACTTTAATATATTTTATTTAATCTGATTATCATTTAAACATATAATCAATATAAATTAATGAGATATTTTACAATCTGATTTTTAGAATAGATATTTTAAATCTGTTGTGTATTTTATATTTAAATCATATCTCAATTCAGGCATTAAATTTTCATCCAAAATACTTGATCTGTATTTAGATTTCATAAAATTTATACTGAAACAGCAGAGTCACACATTCAAGTTGCTATAAACATGCCTTCATATTTTCAAATAACTGAACTGAGTAAAGGTTTTTAAATTCAAACTTACATTAAAATAAAAAATTCAGTTCCTCAGTTGTACCAGCCACACTTTAAGGGCTCAGTAGCCACATATGGGTAATTGCTGCCATAGTGGACAGTTCAGACCTATAAAGTAGATTTTTGGAAAAATATCCTTGGGACTTTTCCTAAGAGGACTGGGAACACAGTTTTCTATCCTGTGTAATAAATACAGCTGGTGACTGAATCAGAGCAGATAGTGACATTCACCTGCCTGTCCCTGATTTCTGCAGGCCAAATCTGCACCCAATAGTCTCTGACCAAAGGGAGAAGAATATAAACAAAGGTATGGGTGTGGGTGTGTCAGCTTTCCATCATCTGTCTGAAGAAGGGATTTCATCAGCATTTAGCTTAGCTAAATGCAGGATTTCAGTCTTTCCAGCTGGCCAGTGCCCATCACCCTCAACCCCCAAACTCCCGCACAGCTTTCCAGACACAAGCACCTCGTGGGTCATCTCAGGGAAACCAAAGAATTTCAGGCTACCTCTGAGGACAAACGAGAACCGGGGTCCCTGTGAAAGAGGGGAGCGGCCCTTCAATTCTCCCCCCCACCCCCGCTCATAGGAGCAGAGCTGCTGGACGGGCCAAGGTCTTACAGTTCAAGTAAAGGTCCCCAAGTGTTTGGGGACCTCTGGGCAGTCCTCGTCCTTTCTTCATCCTCCTCCTCTTAAGGAAACAAGTTTCACTATGTGCCAAAGGCCGGGGGGCTGACATCCCCCCTCATGTTCTGATACCACATGAACCCTGAGAGTGTGCCATACTTACCCTGGGTCCTTCAGGGCCGACTGGCCCAGGCATGCCAGGAACACCCGGGGGGCCAGGTCTACCCTTCAAAAATGAACAACAAAAGTCAGGACAACTGGGTTTGTTTCCTTCCTTCCAGGAAATGAGATTTGTTTTGGGAGCTCACAGGGGACTGTGGGGCCCTTAAGCATGGCTTCTAGGTCCTTCATCCCCACCCTCCAGTGACTGATAGCCTAGAAGGTTGGGTCACTTACACATAAGTTAAAGAGTTTGGTGTTATATTATGTCAACACATAAGCTCTTCTTCTACTCAAGAAATGGAAGGTGCAGGGGTGGGGGGGGTGCGGTGAAGGACGGTGATAGAGAAGGGATTCTAAACTTCTTGGCTTATGGCCTCCACTCACCTGCCCACTCACCCAAATGTTCCTTGCATTCCAACAGGTTCTTCCCAAGGATATGGCATGGAATGGGGTGGGGTTTTGTTTGGGGTACAGCAGCAGATGCTGTTGGTATTCCCTCAAAATCTTTTTCACTTGCTCACTGTGCCCATCCCCCCAGTGGCTACCTGCCTTCCTGCCACAACGCATTCCTGCAACCTGTAATTGTGGAATTTGCCAATGGTCAATTGGAGCTGCCTGGCAATTCATGCACCTCTTCTCCCTGCAGCCAATAACCCAGCTCCCTTACGTCAGGACAGGACAAGCTCTGTGGTGCTGTTCACACACCAGAGCTCCCCTAGCAGTGGGGCTGAAGACGGACTTCATCTGACACCACACCCAAGCTGGGCTTCTTCCCCGGCACCATCCGGCTTCCCCTCCCCTCAGGATCCTTCTGAGAGAACTCCCTTAATGTGTTCACTTCTACATGGCACGTGTGGTCTCTACCTCTACTTCTAGGGAGGCCAACCTAAGCCAGGAGCCATGCAAGAGCAAACCTTACAAGAGGAAGTGGGGGCGGGGACCTGGGGTCTATCTCAACCTCTGCACCCACTGGCTAATTTCACAGTTAACCTAACTAGACATGTGGAAGGCTCAGCCCCTAAACTGGAGATCACAAATGCTAACACGTGTCCTCGTTTCTACTCTTTCCCACTTTCATGGCAGACATCACTAACTGATCACGGCCCTCGTTAGTTCTGAGCATGAAGACCAACCCAGAATGCTTTCCAGCCCAGCGCTTCAGATAACCCCTGTGCCTTGGCTGGAGCTGTGATCTGTGTCCTTGAGGGATGTAATTTTGCTTGCAAAGGTCTGTTTGAGGCTTTTGTTGATAGTGAAACCATCTGAATAGAACATTTAACCAGAAAACTAATAATTTATATTTAGAATCATAAGCATCTTGTTTGGCCACAGTGTTACACTGCCTTCTATCACTGAGACCTACAGTTTCAGTGCCAACATCCACTGACCACAGTGAGTGGCTGCTGGTTTACTCTTTCCTGACCTGAATGAGAGCCTTGGTAACATGTGTTTGGTTCGCTCAAAGTCCCTATGACCTTAAGTGACTCCTGTGTATTTCAGCTGGGCCAAAAGGCAAAAGCTATTGGCTTCTGTTCTGCACTTTATTCCAGTTTAATCAAATAGACAGTAAGAGTCATTTAGTGCCACTGGTTGGGGCCCTGGATGATTTCCCTAATGGGTGGCAGAATGAGATGGTCTGAGGTTGGGGGAAATTTAGGCAGGCTTGGCAGCCTCTGGGAGAGGTCCAGATGCCTGGCAGTAGCAGGCTGTCGACCGAAAGAACAGGCAGAAAATGGGGCACCTGAGTGACTCAGTCGGTTAAGTGTCTGACTCTTGGTTTCGGCTCGGATCATGATCTCACAGTTCGTGGGTTTGAGCCCCACATGGGGCTCTGTGCTGGCAGTGTGGAGCCTGCTCGGGATTCTCTCCCTCTCCCTTTCTCTCTGCCCCTCCCTTGCTCACGCTCCCTGTCTCTCTCAAAAAAAAAAAAAAGAACAGGCAGAAAAAGCCCACTGTCATCAGAATGGCAGTGCCATCATTGTCCACCTGGATACTGGAGTCTAAGGAAGTATACTGCTGGTGGCTCCTACCCCTAAGAGTACTTGTGGGTGCGTGCACACGCACACTCACACACACACGTGCACACACACACAGAGAACAGTGGCCCGTGCAATGCTGACAGAACAGCATGAACCATACCTTTCTTCCTGGTAGGCCAAGCTCCCCCTGTGGATGGAGAAGACAGGTAAGCAGAGGCTTCTTTGGAAGAGAAGTTCTGGAAGCACAGAGCTTAGTAGGGCTGACGGCTGGGCATGAGCGTGTGGCTTGGTTGCTTGGCCATTCACAGCACCCCTGCCATGTCAGTGGGCCAAGCTGAAATACGCCAGTGGGATCTCACACATGCAGCAGCAGCCCCGCCATCACGGAGCCCATCCTCACTCTCTCAGGCAGAATTAGCACATTCTTTGAAATCTCAACCAGAAAATTCTCAGTGGCATCCCCAGAAAACAGGCTGGAATTACCAAGAAGGGGTGGACTGAAGAAGGCAGTGACTCATACCTTTTCTCCCTTTGGTCCCATCTTGCCAGGAAGTCCCGGTGGACCCTATGCAATCAAGATAAGAAATGAAAAGGTCTCCATCAAAACAAGGCAGGATGGGTGGGGAGGGAGGCGTGACTTCGAGGGAGGCTCTTGGTGCGTTGGGCTCCTCTAGCAGCGTGGTTCCCTCTAGCAGACTAGGGGTCCAAGGTCCCCATGAAGGACCCTCTTGTGCCCTCCAACCCAGTCTCCTTGTCCTCTGGTAACTTTCCCTGAGCTGTGCTTCCAGGGGTGCCGTGGTTACAACCAGAGAGTCTTGAAGAAACGCTGTTTGCAGAAAACAAGATGCGTCACCACCTCTCATAGCTTTTCAGCTGCTCTCAACCAAGCCCCCCTGGGGCCCTGACAAGAGGGAAGTTAGTCTTTGCACATAGGAGCAGCCAACTTAGAAATTTCTGTGCTGGATCTATGGGCACCAGGTGCAGTGAAAGCCTTCTTTAAGACGTTAAGAATGTGGGCAATGGTGCGTTTTGTCTCATTGCCCAGTCCCAGGAGTGGGGCTGACTCCAGCTCAGGGACTCTAGCACCCACTACACTAAAGCCTGCCACACCCACGGCCAATATGCAGCTGCTTTCTGTTCACGCGTCTATGAAATGCTCGGTGGACTGTTTTCCAAATTCCCCAGTACGGCAGAGAGGAAATCCATCAACTTGTAGCAGGCCACAATTTTATCCCCATGATCTGCTGGTGAACACACCTACCACAAAGCCTGTTTGAAATATGATTCCTTTGAGACTTGTCCAAATGATAAACAGTCCCCTCAGTGGTTCCCAAAGCTGTCTGCACATTAGAATCCCCTGAGGATCTTTTGAGAATCCTGACCAAGCCAACCCAGATCAATTACATCACAATCTCAAGGAAAGGGGCATTAGGCATCAGGAATTTTTGAATCTCCCAGGGATTCTTTATAAATTAAAATTTTTTTAATGTTTACTTTTGGGAGAGAAAGAGAGACAGAACATGAGCAGGGAAGGGGCAGAGACAGGGGGACACAGAATCTGAAGTAGGCTCCAGGCTCTGAGCCGTCAGCACAGAGCCCAATGCGGGGCTCGAACTCACGAACCATGAGATCATGACGTGAGCTGTAGTTGGCTGCTTAACCGACTGAGCCACCCAGGTGCCCCGAAGCTCTCAGGGATTCTAATGTACAGCTAAGTTTGGGAACCAGACTTTGATTTATTTTCCTGTTTGCGGGATGGGAAGAGGCAATGTCATCATTTCATTTCCCTTTCCACTCTCCCCTTCTCTCCTTCCCCTGCCCCCACCTTACCTCTTCTTTCAAGCCCCCCTGCTCCCCCTAACTTTCCCCTCCTCCCCGCTTCTCTCCCTCCTCACTCCTGGTCTGGACACCCTTGTGTGGAAATAGGGCTTCCTGGGAGGGTGGCTTCGCCCCCACTTCCTCAGCCACTTGCCCAGTGACCTGCTGGGGACTGCGCTGGCCCCAGCACCCGGCCCTATTTCACGGCTGTGAGGGCCAGCTTGGATTGATAGCCCAGGGTACAGGGTACACAGTCCTTGAGGATCAAAGCCTAGGGGGTGCCAGGGCTCCCAGAGAGTGTGACTCAGAGGGGCAGAGGTTCCCTGCTCCCCAAAGTCTAGGAGCCCATGGTGACAGGGAGCCCCAGGGCAGTGTGCCTGCCACCTGTCCAGTCCTCTTGCAAGGATGAACGCTATTCCATTCTCTCATTTCTTATTATCAAGCCTGTTTTTTCGATTTCTTAAAATGGGCTGGAGGGATTTTACCAGGCCATTGTGCTCTAGCTCAGTGCTTTCCAAATTCTGATGTGCAGATGTTTCACTAGGGGGGCTTGTTAAAATGCAGATTTTGGGGTGCCTGGGTGGCTCAGTGGGTTAAGCTTCTCCATCTCCCAGTTTGTGAGTTTGAGCCCGTCGGGGTCTGAGCTGACGGCATGCAGCACTTCGGATTCTGTCTCCTCTCTCTCTGCTCCTCCCCCACTTGCTCTCTCTCAAAAATAAGCATTAAAAATGTTTTTTAATGCAGATTTTGATTGAGTGGGTGGGGGTGTGTGAAGGGGAGGAGAGAATGAGATTCTGCATGTCTGACAAGCTCCCAGAGGACGCCCTTGTTACTGATTCACAGACCTCATTTTGCTTGGGAACAGCATTTACACTATGTTCTAAGGAATGGAAGTGGCTGCAAGTGCTCCCGCTACCCCCACCCCACCTAGCTGGGCAGCACATTCTCTGAATGACTCAAGTGGATCACGTGAGTTAGAGGTGTGTGAGCAGGGCTGGAGAGGGTGTGAGTTCAGCAGAAAATCCCCCTTTCCTTCCCATGCCGTGTGGCTCTCAGGCGTTCTGAGATCCACCAGTGTAGACTGCCGGAGGTGGGAAGACAGAAATCCACCTGGGAGGTGCTCCTCGGTGTCCATCTTGCTTTTCTGCAGACTTCCTAGCCCCTCTGTGGCAGCCTCTGGCCATTTCTGGGTTCAAAGTCCTGTTTTGTGTTCTTTATTGCGTTCAATAAATATTTATGGAGAGATCACAAGAACCCATGCACTGGTACAGACTGGGCACAAAACAGACGATATCCCTGCTCTAGGACCACGGGTCGGTAAACCTTTTCTGTAAAGAGGCAGATAGTAAATATCTTCAACTACGCCTCTGATACAGCATCTCTGTCACAGCCACTGACCTCTGCCCTTGCAGCACAAAGGCAGCCAGAGTCAATAAAGTTTAGTTACAAAAACAGGCTGCTGCCAGATCTGATTGGCCATAGTGTGCCAGTCCTCGCCATAGAGCTTATACTTTATAAAAAGACCAAAGAGACCGACAACAATAACAAAATAAGAAAACCGTAATGAGAAAATTGTGCGGAGAATTAAAATAGGTCATCGCGATTGAGAATGACAGGGAACGGTACTGTAGACTGGCTGGTTGAGGAAGGCATTTCTAAGGAGGTGGCCTATAAACTGTTCTGAGTAATGAAGGAGCTGGCCGTGGTAAAAATCAGAGGAAAGAACATTCCAAAAGCCTGAGCCACGAGCGCAAAAGCCCTAAGGCTGGAACAAGCTTGATATGCTTCAGGACCCAAGAGATATATGTTGGGTGGACAATGTTGGTATGATACACTGTAGGAGATACAGGTGGGGTCCTCTTGCAGGGCCTTAGTCTCCTGGGATGGGAAGCCATAGGAGGGGTCACCCAGGAGGGGTGACAGAATTCCTAAGGCACTTGGGCAACTGACTACTGCCTGTACCCTTTTTCATCTCCCCACGGCAGGCCCCGAGCCCCAGGCCAGAGGGCGGTCCTCCTTGCTGGGCCCCCTCGTCCAGGCAAGTCAGGGGAGCCAGGGTCTGTGAGACAGGGTCTCTGGAGGGTACTCTTGTTTGCCTAGAAAATCCTTTCTCTAACATTTCACCTGTTCCTCACTCTTTCCTTTAGCTTTAGTGGGGTGGGGGGAGGCTGCCTGGTCACAGTGTCTAATGAGGCTCAGACTAACAAGTTCCCCATTACCTCTGCTTTCCTGCGCCAAATGCAGGCACTTCTTGGTTTACGGGGGGGTGGGGGGGGGATTGGTCAATGGTCACATAAGGGGCAACCAATTGTCATCAAGCGTCTGATGATCATCATAATAATAATCGTATCCATCTAGACAGCAGCTCATCTGGTCCCCTCACCACCACCACCCAAATCCAGTACTGTGGGGGTAATTACTGTCTCCGCTGTGTAGGTGAGGATATCAAGGCTGGGAGGCCAGCATTCTCCCAGAGAAGAGGAATCCGTGTACTCGCCTCGTGGCTCTGGAGCCGGAGGTGAGCTAGGGAAAGAAAAGCGGCCACCATGTCGCGTTGAAGAGGGCAGCTCTAAGAGACTCTCCCCAGTGGGTTTTACTGCTCTGAACAGAAGACAGCAGGACAGGGTCTGGTGGAATGCACCAACCTGGGGGCCAGGGGGCCCAGGGGAGCCGAGTGATCCTTGCACACATGAGGACTGTGTGGTCTCCAGTTCCAGGATGAAATTCTTCATGTCTGGGGAGAGAAGCTTCAATGCAAGCAACACATGGTCATGGGTCAGACGTGGGGGATGGAAGAAGGGTCACTACCCCTGGACACAGATCTGCCTCCCAATCCAGTCCCCAAGATTGGTGGTTCCCTGACACCCCAGTGGGTGTCCCAAGAAGATGACCTTCTGGGCCCCAAGTTCCTGTTCTCTCCTAAGACATTCCTGGCTTGAATAGATTATAGAGCTAGAAGAGCTCCTTTGGATGGAGTTAGGAAGCTCATTTCAGGGGCCTTTGCCTAATGTCTAGGCCAGCACCGTCCAACAGAAATGAAATGCCAGCCACCTAGGTAGCTCAAAATTTTCTGGTAGCCAAGTTAAAAAAAGGAAAAAGAAGGAAGTAAAATTTAGTTTAATAATAGATTTAACCCAACATGTCCCAGATATCATTTCAACATCTATTTAATATTAAAACATTACTGAGACATTTTACCTTCTTTCTTCATCCCAAGTCTTCAAAATCCAGTGCGTATTTCATACGCACAGCACATCTCCACTCTAACGAGCCACGTGAGAGGTGTTGAAGACACATATGGCCAGTGGCCACTGCATTGGGCAGTACAGGTCTAAGAATTCTCAGAAAAATTCGAGAATCCCAAGTCGCAAGACTCTTCTGGCCTGTTGTCTTCCCAAATCCTGTTCCCTCTCACACCTCAGTATGACTATAGGGGGACCATTTCCTGCGCCCCCTCACAGAAACAGGCTATGTTAAACATGGGCTGTGGAAGGGAACTTCATAAACACTTGGGAAGAAAGGGGAAATTCTGTTCTGAGCAACTGAAGGGAGCCTAGAAAGTTATAGATTCACCTCATTGTTCTCAGGGAGATGGGATGCTTTTCCAAATCCAATTTCCTGCTGACAAGAATCTCCCTCCATAACTTATTTATGACAGCGGGAGAATGGACACACACAAGAAACTGCAAAATGCCCATTCTAGAGTTCAACCTGCTGTGTGAGAGTAAAGGGTTGGATCCCTCGAAAAGAATCTGGAGGCTTCTCACTTCAAGTGCGGGGAAGTTGGGGGCGGGGGTTGTGTGGTGGGCACTGGGGAGCCCGTGTGTCTGTTCTCTCACAAGCCCTGAGGTACTCACCAGGCTTCGGCCTCCTCTGAAGAATGGTGGTGGGAACAGCGGGGGTGGAGGGGGCGTCAGGAGGCAGCATGCTCTGTGGCTGCCACGCTTCTTCTGATCCAGGCCGGGAAGAGCTGTGCAGAGAAAATTGCTGCTCATAGCCCCGACAGTGTCGGGGCCTCTGTCATGTCCCCTGAACCCTAAGGAGACCCATGCCGCAAACTCCAGATTTCTGAATATGATTTCTAACCAGTTAGATGTGAGCGCACCGTCTGTTTGCCACTTGATGTAGCCCTCCCCCAGCCTTTGCTGAACGAAGATGGTTAAGCAGCTGGTATGGACACCATGACCATAATAAAGTCCATGTCTCCTTCTTCGTGGACTGACTTGTCACTTTGTAGATGTGACAAGGAACGAGAAGTCCAGACTCATAATACACCTCCAATAGAGGAGGAGAAGGAAGCGTTTGTTAATTACTTTGATGGTGCCCTCAGAGGGAGGCTCAGGGAGGGGGCATCCAGGGCCCAAGGTGGCATGGACTATACAAGACCCGGAGCCCTGATTTAAAACACATACTTGATCCTAGACTCTACACACACATTTGGGGTCACCCATGCTCACAAAAGGGTTACAGTCTAATGACTCAATACACGGGTGTGAGGAGATGAAGGCGGGGGCCCTGGACCCTGGTAGCTTTATTGAACACGGGGTCTTGCCCATGTTCGATGTTAGGGTATGTTCAATGTTGAAGTATACCTTACAGAAAGGGCATAGATCATAAGCACACAGCCCAACAGATTTCTGCAAAGTGAACACACCCTAGAGGCTGGCCCCTGGATCAAAACACACAACTCCCCATCATCCACAAGCCCCATAAACTCCTGTCCAATCTCTGCACACCTCCCTCGCCACCATTCTGACTTCTAACCCCAGGGACTCATTGTGTCTATTCTGGAACTTTATATAAATAGAATCAGACAACATGAATTCTTGTGTATGGCTTCTTTTGCTCAACACGGTGTTTGTGAGGGTCATTCGGGTTGTCGTTTGTAGCTGTTAGCGCTGAAGAGAGTTCCATTGTGTGACCAAACCACAATCTACTTATCCATTCTGCAGCGGCTGAACATTGGGTTGATAGCCACTCCACACCCCACCAGAATGGCTAAAATGAAAAGGACAGGAAATAACAAATGTGGGCAAGAACGTGGAACAAACAGAACTCTCGTACATTGGCTGGAGGCGGGGGGTGTAAGTTGGTTCAACCTCCCTGGAAAACTGCTTGGTATCGTCTACTAAAGCTGAATCCAGGCAACCCCGACAGCCCAGCAGTTTCCCTCAGGGCTGTTTAGCAACAGACAAGTGGGCATATGTTCACCAAAACACATGTACTAGAATATTCACGGCATTGATATCCATAATCACCCAAAGCTGTACATTTACAGTTCCCAGTTTGGGTCTCGTGAGGGTACCCTCACCTTCAACCCTTACGTCGAGCCTCTGACTTTGTAGAACTTGGGCAGGTCACCCACCACATGCCTCTCGGGCCCTGAACCCAGTTTCAGTCTTCTCTCTCAGGGGCCTGGGTTTGCCTACTGTCTCCACCCTGTGCTCCAGGACCTGCCTGCGGACATCAGGCAGCTGGTGGGTGCTCCCCAGGAATGGCTGCTTCGTGCACTCCCACATACTCCCTCCCTGATGGAGGAACATTCCACTGGCCCATGCCAATGGTCCTCGGCCCTCTCTGAGGCAATGCCTCTGTTTGTAAAGACCCTTTTATTACCCGGAAATGAAATTCATAAACAATACACCATACACATGCAATTTTAAAAATCAATATAATCTTGCAGCAGCCAGACGTGGAGGTGGCCCGTCAGGGCCATGGAAGTGGTGAGGACAAAAAAGGAAGCAACCAATGCAAACGTCACTGGGGAGAAAGAAACTGGGGGCCAGCGTGCCGCAAGAGTGAATGAGGAGGAACAATCGAGGGTGGTTTTGAGGTGGCCGGGACCTGGGACAACAGTGAGTCAGAGTATGAGATGGGAAGGTCAGAGGAGGCACTGGTTTGTGGGAAACCTGTCAGATTTGGTATTAGATATTTGTTCATTCCAGCACATGCTTTGTCAGGCACTGGGCCAGGCCATGTTGAGGGGCAGAAAGATGTCTAACTGGTGCCCCTGACCTGTAGACACTAAGGGCTGAGGGGCTGCCAATGCCCTTCTGCTCATATCCCACCCCTCCCCCCTGACACCTAGCCCATCCTGGAGACTCTTACTCACTAACCGAGAACTGGCAGGTGCCGCTGCCACCAGGAAGCTTTCCTTGACTTCCCAGGCCAATGTTGAGGGTCCTGCCATGTTTTTCTCTGGGTTTGCCTCTATGTTAGCTCTTATCCATGGGGTAAAACAGTTTCCTTGTATTTTCCTGACTATAGTACTTTCTGGGAGGATGGAAGCCAGCTTTTAATCCTCATGTTCTAGCACAGTACATGACATACACTAGATATTCCACAAATGTTTGCTAAATTGATAATAATAATAATAATTAATAAAACCCAAGGCACTACACGCGTAGGCACCACTGAAGTGCTTCACGTATAGAAATTGACCTAATCCTCACAGCAATCCTGAACGTCATCGTCACCCCCATTTTATAGATCAGTTAACTGAGGCAAAGATTAGCAGTCTGGTTCTAGGGTTCTTCTCTTGATCTCCACATTCTTCCACGCACGGTGGGAACGTGGGAAATAAAGGTCGGGAGCTTGGAAGAAGGCAAGGGGCTCCCATGACAACTACCTGAGATACAGTACGAAGCGCCTCCAACCAACCCCACCCCATCGGCAACACGCCTGTAGTTGAGTGAGACTGCCTCTTTGGACTCATTGCGAGGGAGGATACACACCCAGGGGAACCATGTGGCATCTTGTTAAGAGGGTGCTAGAAAGGGTTTACTCTAGGATTTGGGCTTTCACTCAGTGATGTTGGGGGAGACTCTGAGGAAGGTGAGTCTGGCTTCGCTCTGGACCAGATGCTGGCAGGGAGCGAGAGCTCGTCTGTGATTATCTTAGTTCTTATCTAGAAGAAGAACAGAGCAGAGGGAGACGGTAGCTGTGGTTAGTAAAGCAAAAGCACTCACGCATATTAACAAGGATCGAGGGATGGCTGGCCATTTTTGTGGTTGGATGGTGGTCTTTTGTCTGTGTCTGATATGATGACGCAGTGGCCTGGTTTTGCCTTGGTCCATCACAGTCACAGACTGGCCTTGTCTGAGGCTGTTCTACGACGCTGATTTTGTTCAACAGAACACCATGGCCCAGCTGTGAGTGGCAGATCCATTCTACCTGTCATGGGCCACTTCTCTCTCTCTCTTTCTCTCTCTCTCTCTCTCTCTCTCTCTCTCTCTCTCTCTCTCTCTCAGTGGTAAAATACTATAGCTACGTTGTTATAAAGCATGACATTAATGCCAATCATATTCCTCTTCAAATTCCTCCAAGTTTCTTTGCTGGACTATTGGGTAAGCTGGGAGTGGCAGGGTCCATTGCTCCACCCTGCCTGGGGCACGTGGTGAAGGTGGCAGACATGCACCAGCACTCCAGGACCACTTCAATGCCACCCCAGTGGCAGTTTCTCCTTTGCTGCTCTTTGTGTGCTTTGGCACACAGCTAAGGACTGAGGTTGTGGTTTTCCACAAAGTCTCTCCCGGCCAAGAGCACCTGGGAGGCTGGCAGGTTCACGTGGCTCATTTGCACTCCTCACCATTTATTTTTCCAGACCATATATGGTCTCCAGTGCCTCGCTTCACCCCACATTCTTTGTGGTCTCCCACTAATGAAAGAGTCTATCATTTGAAGCAATTCTCTTATTTCTTCCTGGAAACTGGAGAACTCTTCAGCGAGCATAAGTTGCTTTTCCTGCTGAGGCATCTGCATTGTTCACCTCTCCCCATCCCTCCTCGCCCTTTCCCCCTTGACCTTGACTTCACTTTCAGCAGGTGAAGAGCATCTATTTCTGCCCACCCCCCCAACTCCCTGGAGATGTTTGTTTTTAGCACAGTCTAGTTTATTTACGGCTCATTCCAGCTCAGAATATTTCCATCAGGTGGATGTGTTTGGGAACAGCTTCCCACCCCTCCCTCCCCTCGCAGCCAACTAAGCCAGGACTTCACATGTCTATTTTGGTGTCATCCGAGCGGCCTGTGGGTCTCTTTCAGGACTGTGATGCCTCCGTGGAATCATGTCTCAGCCCAGGGTCCAGCTTGGAAAGGCCCCAGCAGGCTCTGTGGTAATGGAAACAATCATGCACGTATGAACACGGGGCCTGCAGAAACCTGGGTGCGCCACGTGGCTCCGACCCAGGCAGCTGCCTGGGAAATGCCAATTACCATGGAATTTCAGGACCACTTGCCCTGACTTAAAGCCACTGAAGTCCTACTGTACGTGGCCACTGCAGTGCCAAATCACGGGTAGAAATAACACTGGGTCTAATGTAGGCTGTGGGCAACTGTTTGGTTTTTGTTTCTGTTTTGTTTACTGTTATGGATGCTGGCTTTGCCCTTTTCACTCAATACCCACTTGACTCTTGGGCACTTCCTTGGAAAGTGTGATTCACTTGAACTTACTCCTGGAAATGTAGGGAGTTGGATCAAAAGAGTAGGCGTCTGGGTGCAAGTGACTAAGTGGCCCAGCACAACTCATTTCTGAGACTTGGTTTCCTTACCTAAGCCCAACCCATCTGCAAATTCTGTTTTCATACATATGACACCAGGGTCACCACCGTGTCCATCTGCATCTCCCACTCACGAGGCCAGCCCATCAGTAGGGTATGAGAGACAGCCTTTCTGTTTCTGCCTCCTGTGTTTGTATGAAGCAGTCCCCTCCGCTCCGCATTCCCTACCCAATCAAGAAAATGTGTCATTAGAAGTCACCAAAGGAGGGACACCTAGGTGGATCAGTTGGTCAGGCATCTGATTCTTGGATTCGACTCAGTTAGTGGGATTGAGCCCCACATCAGGCTCTGTACTGACAGCACAGAGCCTTATTGGAATTCTCTTTCTCTCCCTGCCCCTTCCCAACTCAAAATAAATAAACTTAAAGAAGCCACCAAAGGAAAGAAGTCACATAAACATCCCGCCTCTGTAG